TTCATTAGGCTCGAATTGTCGGAACTCGTTGCCAAGAGACTTGATTTCAATTTTAATGGCCTGTGCGTGAGGGTATTTAATTTGCACTGGGATTAGATAAGCTCGGCGTACTTCTACCTGAATGGAACCTGGCTATAGAATGTCTTCAAATCAAGAGTTCCATGACAGTCTTTTAAGATCTCATTGAGTTTAGCACTCATTTCAAATGACTCGATAAATGAAATCAAATAGGGAATAGGCAATGAACTTTTTTCAGATGAGCTCCTCAACTGAAGAAAGCGGGCCTAACTATTCCCTGTTCTTTGCTGTTACAGGTCTTTAATGTTTTTAGAAAGCCCTCTCAGAGCTTCCTTCCTGGATGAATTGGGAATGGATGAGCTTACTAGTCAAAGCAGTTTCAAATTATCTCTGATGAAAAATCTTTGTGTTAAGTCTAACACCCCTCGGAAATAGCTGGGAGTCGAGATCTGGTTGATAAAACTGAAACCGAATCGACATTTCATATTCATGATTTCCGCACCCAAGACAAAAGCCGCCCAAGCAGCAAACACCCAAAATAAACATAAGCTTCTATTTAATTTTAAAAGTTGCTAATTCTCTTATAGAACAAAGAGGAGGAGGGGCTAAAATATCATGTTGAGAATCTGGTTAGACGGGCACATGTCAGGGACATGCTGACTTGGATTTGACAGTGGCGTTGTTTCGTAATTTCGAGCTGGATTGTCCTTCGATGGAGACCAAAATCCGAGGCAACGAATTCTCATCGCCGGCATGGAATAACAACGTATAATCGACTGTCGCAACGACCGATGATTTGACACAAAAAGGCTTTTCCTCCAGCCGGTATTCGAGAAGTTTTCAGCACAAATAGAGAAGAAAAAAATCACTTGAATTTCCCGCAATGACAAATTTGAAATGTCAGCAGTCGTCGCCAAGTGTCATTGCCTCTCCGGAGGTGACGAGGAGGAGTTGGAGATGTGCAAAGCAAGTTATGACCCGAATTGTTGGCCAGCTGGAGGTTTCTCACTGCTTATGCAATTACAGCCGAGAATTAATTACCGCCTGACGGCCGTCTTTGTCCACTTAGAGGGTGACTTCCTCAAGTCTCGAAGTCTCGTCTGGGTCGACTAATTACGCGATGATCTCTACCACAGACCGCCCATGAATGGCCGGCCACGCACTGGCACTGGCTCTGGCCAAAAGAGTCCAGCCATCTGCAGGGGCTACTGGAGGAGGAGGCTCACAACAGTGGGCGTCTGGCTGATTGGTTCATTAAAATCCAAATGTTCGGCGTGACTGCTTTTCATGAGCTCGAAAATTAATAAATTCTAGTTATTAAGCATAAACAAAATACAGCAAAACTGCAGGCGATGACAAACTCTGACTGAAACTCGTTTCGGTGTCAATCGCTGAGCGGCAGAAGAATGATCAGCCGCTGCCCCAGTCCCAGCCTCCGCCTCAGATGCAGTTTTTTTGGAGTTGGGGGCTTCTTCGAGGGGCGATCTCTGATGAGATTCTCCGAGATGTGTGTGCGTCTAAAGGTCATTCGGTTATGCGAGTCAGAGATGGCGGTGCCTACCTTAACATTCAACTCCATCTGCTGACCCCCAGACGCACGCACCCAACATCGGGCGCGAAGTCAACCGGTTCATGTTCCTCGGGCGAAACTGCATGTAGGCCTAAGCCCAAGTCCGGACGGGGTAATTGCCATTAGCCAACGCCTGATCTTCTCACATTTCTCAGCTCTACTACGAGTATACTATGCTATTTGCCTTGGCAAGCTCCGATGGGAGCCTTGACTCGGCGCAACTGACAGTCGATTGATGAAATTGATGAAATTTTTCGTCTCTGCTCGAAGCTCATGCTGGGCATTTTGCATCTAAGCCGTTTACAAAATTAAACGCTGCATGACAAAATGTTTAACACTCGATGGTACAGTGATAGCCCTCTAAGAGTGGATTGCACTCACCGATTTACTTCACTGGTAGTTCGATTTGCTTAAGACAGCTTTCACTGGTATTTGCAAGCGTCTCTTAATCCAAAATTTAACGAAAATATTCAGAAATCTGGTATGAGTACACTGCACGGTATATATATGGTCCGTTTTGCTTTATAGAGCTTTGGCTGTACATATAAGCTTGTGAATGCCTAAATCTATACCAATCTACTTGTTTCTTTTAGAGATCTCTCACTGTAACCTAAATCTGCTCTTATGACAAAATCTCAATGAAATTTGATTACTGAAACCTTCCCGTTCGCTTTTGGGGGTTCTCACTTTACCTAAAAGTTGGAATTTTGGCAAAAACTGACCAAAAAGCATCTGCATAGTGTGTTTGCCCAAATCAAAGGCAGCTAAATAGTAAAACCAACAGCAAATTGGCCAAGTTAAGCATGCGGTAGTACAAGTAAGTATCTGGTGCTTCTGCTACTGCTGCCGCATCAGGTTTGTTATAATTGCTGCTTTAGGGCTTACTCGAATTTGGCCAACTGATGTTAGCCGTCTGTTAACTCCCAAACATCTCAAGCAGAGACAGCAGAAGCGACAGCAGCGGCAGGTCTGGGACTGGTTAACCGCCTGGTCAGCCTCGGCAGACGTCGCGACGGCGCTGGCAGAGAGCGCCGCATCTTCATCTTAGCCGCTTTCGGTTTCGACCGCTGCCTTCTTCTCCACCTCTGCTGTTGCTGCCACTGGTGGTGCCGCTGCTGCTGCGGTCCGGGGCGAGTGTTAACAGCTGTCGCCCAAGTGAAGAAGATGCCTCTGCCTCTGTCGCTGCCTCTGTCGACGGTGGCGTTGCGGCGTTGCTTTTCGGGCAGATGGCGGGTCCGAGTATATATAGAAAATCTACAAGTTTTGATGCTTTAGTTGGTATTCCACACTCGACCTAGAAGTTAAACCAACTTAGCTGGGCATCGATCAAATTCAATTGACCATTGAATTTTGATACGATCGGTCGCGTCGTCTTCTTAGCCATTCCGCCAAGGATTACGCACGAAAAGGATTACCTAACGAAATCGGGATTAATAAATCAGCAAACCTCCAGTTTGAGTCTATAGCAGCTGTCCAAAAGTGTACACCATGGTAAAGCCACTCAACCTAGTTTCAATTGAATCCGTCCTAAAACAAACAATAATATTTTGTGTGCAAAAAGTGTCCAAAAAACAAGTGTCCCTCGGTGTGAAGACAAACAAGACATAGACAAGACAAGATAAGAGTTTCGCAAAGGGAAGAGTATCTGCAACATCGCAGAAGAGCAACACAAACAGCCAGGGAAGCAGGCAAATAAATTGCTAAAGCACCGACTGCAGCTCGATTCCAATTCCAATCTATTTGCATTTTACATTTTAAAGATTGTCGGATCTGCGACCAAGAGCTATCTCCGGCTCTGCTGTCTCTGTTGATGCCAGTTGACATTTAAGCCGCTAAAAGTGGTTGACCGTAGAAATTTTGCAAGTGCCAAGCAAGTCCCAAGCTCCCATCCGATCCGATGCGATGCGATGCGAGTGGACTTCGTCGAACGAGTGCAATGTTACGCATGCGCCGTGTGGCCGCCCACAGAGCCACAAATCATCTTGGCTCGGATCGCCTCCGCTTCGGCCAATAGTAGCATTTGCGTATTAAGCCATTAGGATGGCACCAGCTGCGTTCTGCCACTTTGGTTGGTTTGGCTGCTGTTTCTATGTCAGCATTGACATGACTGAAGATGAAATTAAAACGTGTTTTTTTTTTTGTTTTTGTTTTCTGTTTTTCATAAATACATTTCGCTGGGGCTTCTGACATTTAAAAGATTGGTAATTGGCGTATTTAGGTAAATAGCCATAAAAACAATTACCTCAAGTTATATTCTAGACATTGCCATTGAGCTAACCATCAGTGTACCAGTTGTCCAGCCCAAGACCAAGATATTCTTGGCTATCTTATGTATCGCTAAGTTGAGTGCGAAATTGTCAGATTTGTACACTTTCCAAAGATCTGTAGAGATCCTAGCTCCGAGACTATTTGTTGCTCCGTTGCGTCTGTAATAACTGTCTTAAGGTCTTGCCCTTGAGTTGGCTTTACCCTCGATCCAGTCTGAATCGGATTAATTAGCTGCTCATTAGCATAATGGTAATAAAGCCAGCTTCAAGATATCGATGAAACACAAGTGTCCTTTCACTTTCGCATTGACAAAGCAAGATAAATAAATATAATATTTTCTTTTTTAATTGCTAACGATTCTCATCTCATAAGTCAAACACGATCTTATGGATTTTAAAATTCTTTTTGTGTGTGTGTGTGTGTGTTTTTTTTTAATAAAATTTCAAACAAGTTAGAACTGCCAAACGTTTGGGTTCATTAGCATAAATAATTTTTGAATCATTTACATTCAAAAAAGTTGAATATTTGTCGAAATTAGCAAACATTCGGAGGCAGTAACAAAAGACAATGTAGTGGTGCTCATCGCTGTATTTGTTATAATCCAACAGATTTGGTTATAAACGACACTCGAAGCTGTTTTTTTTTATTTTTTTTTTTATTATTATTTTATGGCTGTGCGTATGCTAATTTCTGACTTTAGTTTTTCTCCCTATTTTTATGATTATTATATAATCATTGTCTTGGTTCTTTTGCGTAGAACTGGTCTGTCTCTCTCTTCGGGGAAGGTCCGGTTTCTGGCATAATAATCAGCTATTTATATACGAATCTCTAAAAATTCTGCGATGGGTGAATTGAGCTCATCGACCATCGAGTATCAACCAATTCGACGACCACTTTCATTAACGTTGACAGAGGCTAGTCGATGACCTTGCCGCGGATAGCCACAGCGACAAATGCAAATGAATACTCGAAACGGAATCAACGGAAGCCATAACTCAGAGCCAGAGATCTGCTTCCTCAGCTTCAGCAGGTTGTCGTTTGTCGCTGAGCATCTTCACTCGTCATCGCTGTGTTCCCATTATGCATTAGCATTATGTTTTAATCACACGAATCTGCGAAATTTACTAGGTTTACAGACCAATCAATGGCGCCTCAGAGCAAGCCTCGGGTGGGGATGGGGGATCGCTATCCATGACCTAGAGATGCTAATGACTGTCAAAGTTGAATGTCTGTGTTAACATTTTCGAGTGATTTTCAATGCATTTATGGTAATGTGTCTGCGACTGATTTGAATACTTCACCCCAGACTGACTCGGGCTGAACTTTTCGAAGAGTTTTGAACCGCAGGCCATAGAGGCAGACGACGGCTCGGTTTGCCTTGCCTCGTCTCCGATTCGGGCCAAGCTGCCACTAAGCGTGAAGCGGCGATTAGTTCTTATAAGGCGATCGGGCAATTAGCCGCAATCAGCCGCTCGTTAGAGCCAGTTGTTAGTCGGAGACACTTGAACCTCTGCCACAAGCACTACGAGCACTACGACCGAGAAGCCATGCATCTCGATTTATCTCTACTTATTCTTAACCGAGTCTCCTTTCCCTTTCCCCACAGAGAAGTGCACTCTACGTCTTGGCGCTCTGCGCTGTGGCGGTGGCCACCACAACGGCCGACACGCATGTGGTAAGTAAACCCCACCCCCCCGAAAACCCACCTCTGAAGCAGATTCCCGACTAACGAGTCCGTCCATTACAGCGCAAGGTCCGTGCCGCCGACGGGTACTTCTACCCCACGCCGAAGGTGCCGTTCGATCTTCCCCCTCGCACCACTGAGGCGCCCTACACCCGTCCGCCCACGACGAGGCCTCCGGTGACCCGTCCTCCAACGACGAGGCCCCCGGTGACGCGCGTGCCAGCCACGTACTTGCCTCCAACCAATAAGCCAGCACCACCGGCCACTACTCGAGTGCCTCCACCACCACCACCACCAAGGACTCCACCCCCAACAAGGCCACCAGCTCGTCCTCCAACTCCTCCCCCAACCAGGCCAGCGACTCGTCCTCCAGCAACGTATCTGCCACCCACAAACAAGCCTGCCCCACCGGCAACCACTCGTGTGCCTCCTCCTCCACCACCGCCAAGGACTCCACCCCCAACAAGGCCACCAACTCGTCCTCCAACCCCTCCCCCAACCAGGCCAGCGACTCGTCCTCCAGCAACATATCTGCCACCCACAAACAAGCCAGCACCACCGGCAACCACTCGTGTGCCTCCTCCTCCACCACCGCCAAGGACTCCACCCCCAACAAGGCCACCAACTCGTCCTCCAACACCTCCCCCAACTAGGCCAGCGACTCGTCCTCCAGCAACATATCTGCCACCCACAAACAAGCCAGCACCACCGGCAACCACTCGTGTGCCTCCTCCTCCACCACCGCCAAGGACTCCACCCCCAACAAGGCCACCAACTCGTCCTCCAACACCTCCCCCAACTAGGCCAGCGACTCGTCCTCCAGCAACTTATCTGCCACCCACAAACAAGCCAGCCCCACCGGCAACCACTCGTGTGCCTCCTCCTCCACCACCGCCAAGGACACCACCTCCAACCAGGCCAGCGACTCGTCCTCCAACTGCACCACCAACACGTGCGTCCACTCCAGCACCAACCTACTTGCCACCCACCAACAAGCCAGCACCTCCAGCAACCACACGACCACCAGTGCGCACCACTCAGCCTCCTACCAGGCCCCCAACTCGCCCACCCACACCCCCTCCAACACGCCCACCAACACCACCACCAACAAGGCCTCCAACTCGCCCACCAACTCCACCTCCAACATATCTGCCACCCACTGCTCCCCCAACCACCCGCAGACCTCCACCACCACCCACCAGGCCAGCAACCAAGCCCCCAACTAGGGCTACAACTCGAGCAACAACTCCTGCGCCCACTTACTTGCCACCCACAAACAAGCCAGCACCACCAGCTACCACCCGTCCTCCAGTACGCACCACTCAGCCTCCTACCAGGCCACCAACCCGCCCACCCACTCGCCCACCGACTCCTCCACCAACATACCTCCCACCCACTCCACCACCAACCAGGCCACCAACTCGCCCCCCAACTCCTCCCCCAACACGGCCACCCACTCCTCCACCAACTAGGCCTCCAACAAGGCCACCTACTCCTCCCCCAACCCGCCAATCCACTCCTGCACCAACGTACTTGCCCCCCACGAACAAGCCTGCACCACCAGCAACCACCCGTCCTCCAGTACGCACCACTCAGCCTCCTACCAGGCCGCCAACCCGTCCCCCAACAAGGCCACCAACTCGGCCACCCACTCCCCCACCCACATACCTCCCTCCCACTCCACCACCAACCAGGCCACCCACTCGCCCCCCAACTCCAGTGACCAGACGTACACCACCACCAACTCTGCCCCCGACTCGTCCTCCGACTCGTCCTCCAACCAAGCCCCCAACCAGGGCCACAACTCCCGCACCTACGTACCTGCCACCCACGAACAAGCCAGCACCACCAGCTACTACTCGTCGTACTCCACCCCCCACAGTACGCACTCCACCCCCAACTGTGCGCACTCCACCACCGACTATCCGCACTCCACCTCCAACGAGGGCTACTATCCCACCAACAAGACGCCCATCCAGCACCCCAGCACCTACGTACTTGCCCCCCACGAACAAGCCTGCACCACCAGCAACCACCCGTCCTCCAGTACGCACCACTCAGCCTCCTACCAGGCCACCAACTCGCCCACCCACTCGCCCACCCACTCGTCCACCCACTCCTCCACCAACATACCTCCCTCCCACTCCACCACCAACCAGGCCACCAACTCGGCCCCCAACTCCACCACCAACTCGTCCCCCGACTCGCCCACCCACTCCTCCCCCAACTCGCCCACCCACCCCACCACCTACTCGTCCTCCAACTAGGCCTCCAACTCGCGCCACTACTCCTGCACCAACCTACCTGCCACCCACAAACAAGCCTGCACCACCAGCAACCACACGTCCCCCAGTACGCACCACCCAGCCACCAACTAGGCCCCCAACTCGTCCACCCACTCGCCCACCCACTCCCCCACCAACGTACCTGCCCCCCACTCCTCCACCAACCAGGCCACCAACTCGTCCACCAACTCCTCCCCCAACCCGTCCACCCACTCGGCCACCCACCCCTCCCCCAACCCGTCCACCCACTCGCCCGCCCACCACATACCTGCCGCCCGTCACCACCCGCGTGACCCGTCCACCCACGCCACCACCCACTCGCAAGACCACCATCTACATCCCACCCCCGACAAGAGCTAGTGTGCCCCCACAGACGACCAAGCACCAGGGCTACCAGTACCCGAAGCCCAACATCCCCTTCGACTTCTAGATCTCGAAGGAGATCTAAGAGGTCAGAGAGCGTCTCTGGCAGCGCAATAGCTACTATATGTCTAGGGCTAGATATTGTAGATCTAGTCAATACAGTGTAACGATACTTCAACGCTTCGGGGGTGCTAGTGCTTGTGAGTGCTAGGAACCACTGGAGGCGCCAGCAAGGACGAAAATTGTTTGTTTTTTTTTTGTATTCGTATTTTTGTAATTAATGAATCGCATACTCATACAACTGGGGATCATTGTTTCTATACGGTGTACCTATGTTGTACGGCTAAAAGTCTATCCAACTCTTGCTATGTTCTACCAACGCTATCGATCGACGTGTGTCTGTCTGTTGCCTATAACAGACAAGCACACAAGCTCAAGACTATATAGCTCTATATTACGATTAAATAAACCTTTATTCGGATTGCTGAAAACCTGAACAATAAAATAAGATTTTCGAATATTTCCACGCATTTTCTCTTCCATCCCATCAATTGGACAACGGGAAATGAGCCCAGATCATGTCCGGGAGATCTCGTGGTCTTGTTAGCTTTACATCTATGGAGGGTTTCGAAAATGTTGGCCTCTACGACTTTGTTGGATGTTTGTTCCATACACTATACTTGGCTGATGTGCCTTCTTGTATCCTCTTTTATTTGGTTTTAGTTTTCTGACAGAAATGAGCGTCTCTTTGTATACCCAATGTATAATTTAAACTTACTCTTATCACGGCATTGGGTAAAGATCTCCTCCCCTTCGAGGTCTTGCTCTTTAGGAATCCATGAGCAACTGCAAAATGGAGATTCCTATCCGTCAGGGCATGAGCACTTCGGATTGTTTAGCAGTCAACTTGGATTTCTAGTCATTTCGCTGCGATCTTGAGCGTTTCATGGTCAATGCGTTTTTTAATATCTCTTTCTTTTGCACATGCCGGCAGCACGAAGGCGCCTCAGCAATTAATTTATTTGTGTACTTGTGCAAGTATTTTGCTTTCGCAGGCGCAAACTCTATTAAACTTTCTAATTAAGCGGTCGCCACTCGCTGATATTTATATATCTATATCTGCGGCAACTTTTTAGGCGCTGCTAGCGCCCAACTGCAGACAGTCGTCGTTGCGATCCGCGATGAGGCAGAAGTCGCGCCAGGTGCCCACATTCACAGAGCGATAGGCAAGCCGAGCGGTTCGAGCAGCAGCCACCAGAGTCCGGAAAGATGTCCATGCAGCCAGCCCCAACAGGAGATAACGAGTATAGAACGCGGCAGAGTCCTGGCATTCTTCTAGCCACAACCAGGGGCAGTCACTGGATTATGGGCCTGTTATTCGTCCACACAATTGTATGTAAATTTTGGGTTCTTCTGTTCTTCCGGTGGGAGTATGTATAGGATTTGGCAATCGAGATTTGCTTTTATTTCTTGCAGATGTCTCTCATGGTAGTTAAGGTCGCCTCCACAGCAGCTCTGTATCAACACCAGCAACAACCACTGCAACCACTCAACGACATTGAGTCCACAGCAGAGACGACACCCAGCGACAGGGAGACCCAGAGCCTGGGCCTGAATCAGAACCAGAGCCAGATCCAAAGCAGCAGCGACATCGAGAAGATGCGTGCCAAGTTACAGCAACTGCAGCACGAGCAGCAGCAAGAGTATCTACGGCAACAGCAGCAGCAGTTGCAGCTGCATCTGCAACAGATGCATGCCACGGGAGCTGTTGGCGAAACCGCCTACTTATTGGAGCGTGCCGACCACGGCGCACCCGCCCCTGCGCCCATCTACGGAACATGGCGCACGAAAGCGAGACGGCCCCCACACGCCACCTCGGGCAACGATGTTGACGATGGGCATGTCTACGAGCGCCTGCCCAAGCGATCAGCCACCATGACACCTCTTCGTGGCGTGCTGCGCGATCAGATGCCCCGCCCGCCTCGCCTAGCCACCCAGGACACGCACCACCCCCAGATGTCCGGCTCTCCACCGCCGCCGCCCTCAACGTCCCTGCTGAGGCGCCACTATTCCGAGACGCCGGGCACTCTGGCGATGCGGGAAGACTTTAAGCCGAAACCCTTCCACTTTCCCTACGACGGTCCCATGCCCGAACAGTTCACCAAGGGCGAGGCGGAGAAGGAGCAACGCCCGCGGCCAGAGGTGAACAACATCCAGGACATCCTGCAACACCTACACATAAATGGGTTGGGTCCAAGCAAGCTGCCACCGATGGTGATGATGCCCACGGGCCTCCATATTGCTGGAAGCTTCAAGAACCTTAAGAGCAGCGGTATCGGGAACTTTTTTCGCAGCAAGCGGAACAAGAAGCAGATGCAGTTCAGCATCCCATTGCCTATATCAATGGGCCACATGCCAATGCCAATGCCAATGCCCATGTCGATGTCCATGTCCATGCCGATGGCCATGCCAATGCCCATGCAGTGGTACGGCCCGGGAGTGATGTCCCACCAGCGCGTGGCCATTGATCAGTTGTATCCGTACAAGCCACGCTCGCCGCAGGACATCAATTTGCTGGCCATGCAGCAGCTAACCCCCAACAAGAACGTGTCCAAGAAGAAGAATAAGAAAAAGCACCAGAACCAGCAGCACCAGCAGCAGCAGCAACAGTTGACCCAGGGCAACCACAATCTCCTGCTGGAGCACGGCAGTCAGCAGCACTACGTGGCCGATCCTTTTGGCCAGCACCTGCCACAGCCAGTGCTCGGCCTAAATGCCACACGACAGCCGCTGCATAAGCGCATTCCCTTCAAGCTGAATCTGGACATCTATCCGGTGATGCCTCCCTCGCGTCCCGCCTCAGTACTCCGCAATCCTTTCCAGCAGGAGTACGCGATGCCTTCGCCGGCAGCACTGACTGGAACCACGGCCGCCGCCTACCAACATCTGGGTCCCGGCGTCTACCAGACGCCATTCAAATTCCCCACCCAGGCGCCCCATCCAGGCCATATGCAAATATCCTTCCCCGACCAGGCCCCGCGACTTAGCCAGCAGCAAGCTCTCTATCAGTCTCAGGCCCACAAATTTCCGCCTCCCAAGAGCGTGCATCCCGATGAGGCCATCTATGGACATGGTCCGGTTTATGGACATAGCCTGGCGCAAGGACAAAATCAGGGCCAGAGTCATTGGCAGGGCCACAGCCATGGCTATCCACAAGGTCAGGGCTTGGCTCACGTTCAGGCTCTGGGTCAAGTTCAGGGACAGGGTCAGGCGATGGAGTCTCAGTCTATAGAGTCTCAGACGAGCCCCATTATGCTCCATCTGAATGTCTTTCCCAAGCAGAAGCCCACGGCGACAATACGCGCTTCCACGAATCCGTTTTACAACAACAACTTGAATCGGAACACGATCTACTCGAGTGATCTGCCCCCACCCAATCCCCCGAGCCCCATCGAGCCGCGTCAGGCAGGCAATGGCTCTGCAACACCGGCAGCCACTCATCCGCAACACCATCATCAGCAACAGCAGCCGTCTCAGCAGATATCTCTTAATCAAACCCAGCAGCATCATCAACCGCAAGTGAATCGCTCCAGTTCCATCTCTCGCAGCGACCACATGCCCCTCATCGACTTCGAGCATCCGATTGTGGCCGCCGACTTGCCAGAGGCGCCACATCCAGCCTCTCTTGTCAGCCACCGGACCGATCATCGCCACCAAAGGGCGCAGGGTCATCACCCTATGGATGAGCACTTTCGGTACCAAAAGAATGCTAATATCGAGCAACTGGCGGCCGAGGCACAGACAGCATCTCTCTTCCGCTTTCCCGTCGAGGATCTGATACAATTCCACGTGGACGATGCCCTCTAACCATTAACTGTATTAGCTGTATCACTTTTTTTTTATTCTTCAGTTAGTGTAGAAGTTAAATCATTATAAATGGTTTCTATTACAAACATATTCAACAAAAATAGTATGAGGGCATTCATCGACTCAACCATTGAACAAAACAATAGTGCCTTGCTGAAACCTGAAGGCTTGGTTCTTTTTTCTTTAAATGAGCCTGCAAGCAGGTATTTTACTAAACCTGAAGCTTTGGTTCAAGCAGTGCGCCGCTGAAACCGGAGGGCGTGATTCGTGTTCCCTATATGCCTAAAAGTATGCAGCGCATTTTCTGTGTAAGCCCAAAAGTACTATTAGGTTTTTCCCGGCTTAGGCATTCCATTGCCAATCGTTTTGCGAAATGGGACACAAACCAAAGCCAGCCGGCAACAACAAGAAACCAGTACTCGGCAGCAGCTGAGAGCCAAGAACGGGCGAGGCGGCAGCACCACAGCAACAGGTAAGAGTCACCTACCAGACAGAAGGTAAACAGGCGTCGCTCCGTCCAGACGTTGCCGCGCTTCGAACTCGAATTCCGCCGTCCGTGAGTGAGACACCAGATACAAGATACAAAAACATACAAAACGGCAAAAACAAGAAGTCGCTAGCGGCCTGGCCAAGATCAAGTTTCGGACCTTAGCGTCATCCATTCGCCGTTTTAAGAGTGTGTGTTTTTTTGCGTGCGTTGTTGGCCAAAAGCGAAACGAAGCCAAAATATAATGTGAAATGGCTGGACTTAAATGGGCATTAGTGTTAATTATTGTCTGAGGGTACTTTCTGGCTTTGCCCAGGCTAATTGCACTTCAGTCAGAACTACAGATCTGAGGATTTTACATTTGCATTTTGCAGAGGAGCGGTCTGCTTCCTGAGAAAGGCATTTTTTCGCTCCATCTCACTCACTCACTCTCTCTCTCTCTCTCTCTCTCTCTATCTCTCGGGGTATCTCCCTCTCTTTGTTGTTCTTTTTTGCCCAAAACGAGAACTCGTAGATATGTGTATTCCTATACCTACTACATGGACTATACTATGGCTCAGGTCTGCGGATTATAGCAACGAGTCTGTGTGTGTGTTTTCTGCGTTCGGTTTCTTGGCTGCTTTTGGACATTTCCGATTTTAATAACCTTGCCGATGGTAGTATGATTTTGACCAGAAGACTGTATACATAGCCTGCGAAATGTGTGTAATGGATAATCATCAACAGCCGTATGTTGTATCGATATATCCATGTCTAAAATCGAATATCTATACCATCCGCAACGGATCTGCAAGGGTACCTAAATATTCGGCCCCGAAGCTAGCCTTCTTTTCTTCTTTAGTTTGCTTTTCCGCCGTCGGTCCCTCTGCTTTCCCCGCCTGTCTGTTGTGTGTTTGTCCGTCCGTGATGTGTGTGTGCCTGCGAACTGGTATGTGTGTGCCAGCGAAGAAAGCCATCATCGCGCCGTTTGCCAATCGCCAAGAAGTGCCCAATGATCGGAACTCCCAGCCAGCAGCAGCAGCAGCCGTCGCCTCATCATCATGTGCTACTTTTCACATGTGCATAAAGTGAAATTTTCTGTCCGCTCCCGCAGCGGCTTTCAGCTCTTGTTCAGCTTCTGGACTAGAAAATGGTCTTGTTCACTTTTTTGCGCATCGGCAAATGTATTGAAAGCTGTAGCCACACTGCCGCTGGCAAAGTTCAAACGGCAAGGCTGCGATTAGCAAACTAAAACAGCAGACTCAGCTAGATTCCAGCAAGATCTCTGCTATTGCCACTCCATTATTCGTACCATTGTGCCGACAAGGCCAACTGGGGGCGGGTGTTGCAGCTAACATTGAAAAAGTTATTGTTTCGGTCCAAGTAAATGACGAGAAATTTGGTTTGCATTTTCTGACAGCCAGCAGTACGAGCCACAGGCCCCTAGAACGAGCTACGAGCGGAGTCAAATCGAAGCTGTGTCGAGCTATAAAATCTATGTGCCAAATACTAGAGTAAACAGCCACGAAATCTCGGCGAGCTAACGGATACAGATACCTAACGGCATTGAAATTAGCAACGGCAACATGTTGCCGCTGGGGCTGCCCCTGCTGCTATTGCCCCTGATGCTGCTGAGCTCCACTATGGCCCAGCTGCTGAATCATCCGCCGCAATTTGTGCCCGGAACAGGAGATATGTCCCGCTTCAGCCTGTCGGAGAACACGCCAGTCGGAAGTCCCATTTACCAGCTGAAAGGTAAGTACTGCCATCTCAAATTTGTCGGTGCTACACCAAAACAAGTTCCAGACCCATTTTTTATTGCTGTAGCATTGTCCGTAAATCCAGAATTTCTTTTCGCGGGCTTTGTGCGAGATCTGGGGCACTGGAATAGTCTGCATTTTATTAAAATTAGTAGCACGATGAGCCAGGAAAGACCCATTTTCACGTTTCATAATTTTATACGAAATTGCTACATGGCTTTCATTGCAGCACTGAGACAATGTTCAACAATAGCCCAGTTCCCACGCAGTTTGCTGAGATGCGATGCCTTTCACTGGAAACAGTTTTTTGTTATTGAAAATATAAAGCCCCACTAGCACCATGAGATGGTAGGCCCTGGGTATGGTAGAGCATTTGATTAATTATTAACTGAGTGCTAAAGAATGTAATCTTTAGAGGCGGGCGCTTGGAGTTCAATAGACAAAGTGCAATCACATCTTAACAATGCTATGCCCAGAATATTAGGTTCAGAAATGATCATACAACGAAGAAATATCTGAGATATAGTCAGTTTTTATTAAATTCTGTTAAAACTATTAGAAGTGTAGTATCATAAAGGAATCTCCCGCATTGAATCTGCTAGAATCAGATAGTGAATCAAACCATGCTTTCTGCACACATATTTTTCAGTAGCAAGAACTTCTTTAAAGGGTATCCCCGCTTCGATTCGAACACATACTCCCTCTCCGCTGGCTTTTTAAGTGTATAATAATTTTGTAATTTGGCTTTTGGACATACCTCAAATTACCCGTGCTGACTTTCATTTCTTGGCTAGGAGTTTTTTTTTGGGTTGGCTCTGACCACAACGCCACCTACTTTGAGGCAACCTTGTGCGGGGTATTGGATTATTATTATGGTAGCAGCACGTTTACAGCATATCGGCCTCAGATATGAGCATATTCATATATGTATATACATACGATTACACAATGTGAGTGCAGTAAAAAATGCATTCTCTGATCTGGCAGAATGTGCGATAAACCACAGACACTGGCAGCTGTTTCTCTGTTTCTGGCTTTTGGGGTTAGCATTCGCCAGCAATCGTCCAAGAATGCAGTTTGGTAATCAATTAACAAACAAAAACAAACAAAGATACATGTGTATCTGATAGGTTGACATGCGGAAATGCATTTGAACACGTTTGTGCGTAGCAACAGAGCCAGATCCAGAGATCCGGTAATGATGATTATTGTAATGGGTGCCGTCATTAGATAGTCTCGCTTTTGCTTTAGAACACTTTACACTTTTACCCCGATCGAGAGTGCCAATCAATCGAGAGTCGAGAGCAATCAAATGGCAATCTTGTCTCAATCAGCATAGGGGAGGCCTGTCACCGTCACTCCCTCAAAAATGATTATTTAACAAGCAACCCACTGAGCAGATCTTGTTTGCTCTGGTGCACCTGCTCCACTGCTCCACAGTTGACACCCTAACACAGAGGCCCAGTCCCCAGTTACAGATGCGATGCATAGACATGGAGAGGCCTGCAATTTGATGCCACTGCAACTTCATCAGGCGCGCCAACTTCATAATCAGATGGAGCATTGTCTTAACTGGTTGTTTGGGGGCTGGCTGCTGAGCGTGTGCCAAATCGCCTTGGCCTGGCCGGGTTGTTGCTGTAACTGTAACTGAGACTGCCTCTGCGACTGCGACTGCGACTGGGTGAGCGGCCTCTCAGCAGGTTCGTTTTGCAAGCAGCATCCGTGAGATACAAAACACGTTTGTTGCGTTTGAAATCAAAAGTGCCAGGCATAAAAACACATAGTCAAACACTTGAAAGCTCAATTGAAAAAAACTGGCCAGGCCATAAGAAAATTGCTTTGCCTAAACTGTGAGCCAGGAAGCAATTGTCCAACTGCATCTGGTTCATAACTCCAGATGGGAAATCCATGCCGAATATCACCACAATTGCATAACTTCATTATTCCCTGGGAATCTACAATCGATATGTATAGGTTCCTTATTCGAGAGTTCTGAAACTGCATCTGGTTTATGGATCCCGATTACAATTATATCTTGGACTAATTAAAATCGAATATTCAATCGGTTTTCATGAACCTTTAGATTAACGCAGCAATTCCTTTCAGTTTTGTCTTAAGATTTATTTAAAATGGGTACTTAATTACACATTCCGAATACCATATGAATGGAGGGGCTAACCAAACGAATAATTGTCCGAATGTTGGCTCATGGCGGGTGCATTGGGCGTTTTTCTCATTTTATCCAACTGAAAAAACAACATATTCAGTGTGTAATAGAGAGCCAAATATTAACAAATACGCTTCGCGAAGCGTGAAATCACAAATTATTTCTGCCGCATCAACAGCAAGAGTAACTACCACAACAATTACAGACACATCCTCCCCCGCCGAGCAACGATCGGATAACTGGGATGGAACAAGTGAAAAGAAGAAAAGCTTTTCCACATCTCGCACGTACCCGCAATTACAGTGTTCATTCATCTTTTCCAATTTTCCCCCAAAAAGTCTTACCAAAACTTTTGTAACTCATGTGTACATATGTACGAGCAACAGAATTCCTAAAGAGAAGAGAAAACAAGTAAGAACGGGCTGGCAAAGCGTGACTTGACTAAAAAATATCCTACATAAAACTTATATTTCATGATAAGATTATATTTTCATAAATAAATAGGTAGAGAGAGAGATCTCTCCACGTTGAAGAAAAACTGACAATAAAATTAGTGGAAATTAAAGTTAAATTTTAATTCAAAATAATTTCAAAAACTAAATGTTGTTGCAAATACTACATTAAAAATAGATTGCTTCAATTATGCCTTGCTTATCTTTTTCCCTTATCCCATTGCTATAAACACAAATAAATGGCGAGCGAGTGAAACAAAGAGTTGTAACTTTGACCCGCTCACTTACACATTACTCTGGTGATCGTTATCTTCTTTAAAATCTTTATAAGTGTTTTATATCGCACCGAAAAAGCGTTGAAAATGAAGTACAGTGAAGTAAAGAAATTGGTTTCGTAATTTACTGTGGTCTTCATTTTTTATTTCTTTCGGAAATGATATCTTCTCGTTTCCTAAAGTTCTGCATTCTTAAATATTCGCATTAATTTCATTTTAATCAATACACCCCATCCTCCTCCATCTACAGGGTATGAATATGTGTAAACCCGAAATATAAGTTTGAAAAGTTGAAACGGTCACTCACGCGCCAATGCAAGGGGAACCAGTGATAGTGCGGCCTGCAGAGAGGGGGATACAAGCAGCGATCATAGCAATGGCGATTGAAGAGGGGAACGGGAATGCAGCGCGTACCGGGTTGGCGACCGCAGTCGGTATGTTTTGGGTGTAGCGCTCGTAAAGCTGGAGGAGCGGTTGCCGTGGTTGTCTGTTTGCTTCCCGCTTTTGAGTCGTGTCTTTCTGGTCGTGCTGCAATTGTCGGTGCGCGCAAGACCCGCTCCCATATACATACATATACCCAACAACTCTTAGATCCCCCACTCCCGGAGTGCCCGCTGAATGGATAAAGCAAACTTGAAAAATCTGTCTAGCTCCATGGCAGGCAGCAGTGCCAAAAGCAGTTTTCCCGACCGCTTAATGGTCTGTTTTTCTTTGTAAGCTTTTCTGGGTTCATTTCATTTCTCTCCAGTTATTTTTCCCTCCATCATTGCTCTGAAAGAATTTCTAAAGTAATTTCGTGGTGCCCTTAAGCTGAGATCTGGCTTTGGTATTTATATTTTTTTTGGATGTACATATATTTCCTGCTATTAGACTGGAGCAAAGAGAAAGAGAAATTGCCAGGTGAATGACACAATCCACTTAGAGGTAGACACAGCCCCGACTACTTACCGACTGCCAACTCCCAACACCCGACCCGACCCCAACTTGTTAGTTGGCCCTATTTTACCGGCACAGGGCACAACGAACGCATTCGACTAGAAACAGAAGGCGAAGGAGGTTGTGGGAACTAAATTAGCATTTTTCACACGCTTTTACATAAGCCCCCGGTGAGTCGGGAAGTCGGGCAGTAGCACTACTGAACGACTTCCACAAAGTGACAGCCTGGCTCGGATAACTCGTAATTAAAGCAATGAGCGTGTCAAACTGTGGGATAGACGACCAGCAGACCGACAAACCGACAAACCGCTTTAGTCTACAACTAATTTGTTGCACTTTTTCCCGGCCCACTCTCTCACACAGGCACCGACCCGGAGGGAGGCCGCCTCAAGTACAGCATAAGTGGGCCAGTCTTTTCGGTGGACCGGGAGACGGGCGTGGTGCGGCTGCGGCAGGAACTGGATCGGGAGACCCAAGATACTGTCGAGGTGATCATCAGCATCACTGATGAGGGCGTCTATGGCACAGAGCCCAACACTGTGTCTCAACGTCGCGAGATACCCGTGCGGGACTACAACGACAATCAGCCCACGTTCATCGGAAGACCCTACACTGCCAGCGTCAGCGAATCCTTGCCAGTAGGAGATGAGCTAAGCGTGAAGCCCGCAATCATAGTGGTGGATCGCGATGAGGGAATCAACGCTGAGGTGCAGCTTAATTGTGTCGAGGTGAGTGATAAAGAATTATTTCTTTCGGCACATTTCTTTGACAGCTTCTCTGCCTATTCCCAATCCAGGATAACGACATCTGCGACATCTTTGCAGTGCGTGCAGTGAAACTCTCCGACGGGAACTACACCGCTCGAGTGGCTTTGAAGCAGCCGCTGGACTTTGAGAGTCGTCCATCGTACATTATGACCATCTCGGCCTCGGACAGCGCGCACGAGAACCGCCTCTCCTCTTTGGCCACCATTTCCATTAATGTGATCGACATTCAGGATCAGCCGCCTGTCTTCACCAATGCCCCCTACTCCGCCACGGTCCCGGAGAACACACCAGCCGGAGTCAGCATTCTGACCGTCAAGGCCATAGATGGGGACGTGGGCATACCCAGGGAAATATTCCTTTCGCTGGAGGATGAGTCATTCGGTCACTTTGAGTTAGTGCCCTTCGGGGATCCCAGGGAAGGTACCGCCGTTCTGCAGACCACTTCGGAGCCACTGGATCGCGAGAATGCGGAGATTCTGCAGAACGGAGGGGTCTACGTGTTCTCCATTCGTGCTACGGAACTGATTGACGGAGCCATTCCCGCCGAGCACTCGATAACGAGAGTCACTATCGTGGTAACGGATGTCGACGATCACCAGCCCACGTTTAGCGCCACCCACTTTAACGTCTCGATTGCCGAGAATCTTGCCAACGGTATGCCACTGCCCGGTCTCTCGATATTCGTCGATGACCGGGACATGGGGGAGAACAGTCGTTACCAGCTGGCCCTGCGGAACGTCGCCAATTCAGACGCCGTGTTTGCCATCTCACCCACCGAGGCTCAGGGTCGAGTCCCAGTCGTGGTCAAAGTCTTAGATGCTAGTCGCTTAGATTACGATGTCCCCGATCCGTCGTACCGCAAATTCGAATTCGATTTAGTGGCCCTGGTGAAGGGCGTGCAGAAGGCAAAGGCTCGTGTGGAGATTCACCTGCTGGATGCCAACGATAACGCCCCAGTATTCGATCAGCCCACATATCGTTTCACCGCTGCCGAGAACCTGGCCACAGATTACCTCATTGGTCATGTAAAGGCCACTGATTCAGATTCCGGGGAGTTCGGACACGTTCGGTATGTGCTCAAGGGCTTTGGGGCCGACAACTTCAACGTGGACCCTGAGACGGGCGGCCTCTACCTACAACGTCAGCTGGACTACGAGAAACAGAGCAGCTACAGTCTGACCGTTGTGGCCATCGACGGCGGTGGTCGAGAGTCGAATGCCAATCTCTTCGTCGGCGTTGTCGATGTCAACGACAACCATCCAAATTTCGAACACAAGGAGTACAGTCGCACTATCCGCGAAGGAGCGGCCATCTTTGAGCCTCAGTTCTTCGTCCGTGCCCATGATTCGGATGGTCCCACCCAGGGCAATGGACGGGTGACTTATGGCATAGTCTCGGAGAATAGCATAGCGGGGAATGTCTTCCGCATCGAACCGGATACCGGAGAGATAGTCATCCAAAAGGCCGCCCGATCCATGGACACAGAGCGTGGAGAGTACGAGCTGACGGTTTCTGCAACAGATTTTGGTAAGCTTCGGGAAAAACTCCCCTTACTTGGAAAGGTTAATGTTAGTGTACATTTTGTCTCTTAAGGTGTTCCGCCTTTGTCAAACACCACTCGTGTCTTGGTTCGAGTGGGCATCTCTGGCAATCAGCGTCCCATTTTCAGGGGACACTTCCAAAATATGGAGAATCTGCCCATCATAGGGCCGCCCAGCTATCGGGTTTCCATTCCGGAGAATGCCGCACCAGGCTATAATGTGACTTCTGTCTCTGCTCACGATCCCGATGGCTTGGACAGCCTGCTGCGATATAGGATAGTGGGAGCCAATGATAACTTCGAGATTGATGAAGAGTAAGTAAAGGTTTTGGATCCATTAACTGCTTGAGTTTTAATTAATGAATGTCTTCTTTTTTGTAGATCCGGTGTAATCACAGTCTCAACGCAGGCCCACATCGATCGCGATTCGAATATGAATAGCTTTGAGATCATCGTGAATGCCGTGGACTCGGGTACACCCATCCCCGAAACTGCCACCAGCACCGTATATGTGAATGTAAAGGACATAAACGACGAAAGGCCGAAGTTCGAGCAGGCCAGCTACGCCGCTTACGTATCCGAGAGAACGGCCATTGGGGAGAGCGTTCTGCGGGTGAAGGCCATTGACAAAGACCTCAATTCACGCCTGGAGTACAGTCTGCTGGGTCCGGTGAAGGCCACCACCAAGGCTGGTGTCAGCATCACCAACCGCAGCAGCTACCGGGTGCAGGAGGCCTTCCGAATCGACAGCCAGAGTGGGGAGATCTTTGTGAACAGCTCGCTGCGCCACGATGTGGCAGCCATTATCATCTTTACCGTGCAAGTGCGAGATCTGAATGCAGAGGTGGACCCCGAGGGACAGGTGGACAGCACCGAGGTGACTGTCTATGTGCAGTCCTTCCAGGACACCAACCCAGTATTCAAGAACCCCAGTTGGAGCAGTTCCCGACCCGTGATAGACATCAAGATCAAGGAAGAGATGCCCATCGCCAGTGCCCTGTTCATTCTGCAGGCCGAGGATCCCGTGACCCGGCAACCCATAACAAGCTTTGAACTGATCGAACCCAAACAGGTGGACTACTTCCAGATATCAGAGCGCACCGGCGAGGTCATCCTGAAAAAGCGCCTTGACTACGAGGTTTTGGCGGAGACGGGCAACGGTCCGGAGTTCGAGCTCCAGGTGCGGGCCAGCAGTGCGGATCGCCAACGCAGTACCATCAGTCGCCTTAACATCACCGTGGAGAATGTGAACGACAACAGTCCGCGTTTCGAGCAGAGCTCCTACCGTGCCACAATCATCGAGAACCGGATGCACCCGGAGAGGGTGGTGCATGTGAGGGCGGTGGACAAGGATGCCGTACTGAATGCAAGGGATGAGCGTCTGGGCTATCACAAGATCATCTACTCGCTGCAGGGCGAGCACGCCATGCTCTTCGAGATCAACAACATCACCGGTGAGGTGGTCGTGGCTCGCGACCAGACCATCGATCGGGAGAGGACTCCACACATTCGTCTCCAGGTGAAGGCCGAGGACTCGCCGGGCAAGCCCACAGATGCTAAGCAGAGTGTCGTGGACCTGCTGATCGATGTCCTAGACGTCAATGACAATGCCCCGGTGTTCACCCAAAAGAAGTACAGCACAGTCATTCCGGAGAATGCTCAGATCGACTCGTTCGTTCTTCAACTGGAGGCTCTGGATGCCGACGAGGGCCTGGGCGGGGAAGTTCGATACGAGTTGGTCAACGAGGGAGAAGCCAACGGCCTCTTCAAGATCAATCCCCAGACGGGTTTGCTCTCCACCCGCCGTAATCTCACTGGCAAGGGTAGAGCGGAGCCGTACATCTTGATCGTCCGTGCCCAGGACAATGGCAGCCAGCTGCCCAAGCAGCCAACTCTCTCCTCCGATGTGGATGTGCGGATATTCATCGGCGATGTGAGTGCCAACGATGGGGTGCCATTTTTTGTGGCACCTCGGGTGGGACAAATGGCTAATGTTACTGAGGTAAGACCCAATTATTGAAGTGTATTTCGACATATTAGTACAGCCTATACTTTTTAGAATGCTGTTATTGGAGCGCCAGTATTCCAAGTGATTGCCAATGATCCGGACGATGAGAGTACGCCCTCAGGGACCATAACCTATCGCATTCTCCCAGACACGGCGGATGCCGAGACCTTCGCCATTGATACCCAGACAGGGCTGATAACGACAAGGCAATCGCTGGATCGGGAGACCAAGAATATGTACAAAATCATCCTAGAGGTCAGCGACAACGGACAGCCCAAGCAGTCGGTGACACGAATCTTGCAGATTGCTGTGCTGGACGTGGATGATCACGAGCCGCGATTTGCAAGGGAAACTGTAAGTAATCTTAAGGGAGATACGAATAAATGTATCTTACTGAACGATTTCTCAACAGGACGAAGGACCCTTGGTCATGTCAGTCAGTGAGGAAGAACCGGCTGGCACCATTGTTGGTAGCTTCACTGCCGTGGACGAGGACATGGGCGAGAATGCCGCCATCGATTATGTCATTGTTGAGGGCAACAACGAACAGATCTTTACCATCGAGCGAACCAACGATAGCCTGGCCATTCTCAAGACCAACCAACCTATTGATCGAGAGCTTGTCGAGTCCTTCACGCTGACCGTCAAATGCTTGAAGTTGGGGGAACCCGGTTACAGGTTCATCGGGGATCCCTATGATCGCCAGGATCCCTCGCAATTGCGCGTAACCATTAAGGTTCTCGATATCGACGACAATCTGCCGCAGTTCGAGCAACAAGATCCCACCGTGGGCATTCGCATCAACGTTCCCATCGACACGGTTGTCACCACATTGCGAGCCAGCGACGCTGATGCCGAGGCGCCGCCCATTTCTCTATCCATCGAGAACGTCACCTTTGTTCCACAGTTCTATAAGCGGAGTCGGAAGCTGTCCGTTGGCAATCTGCAGAACCTGTTCACCCTGAACAATCGCACCGGGGAGCTGCGTACTGGCGGCTCCTTTTTGGACTACGTGGATGGATACTTCCTCATGCGGGTGGCTGCCAACAACTCCGCCAAGCCCAAGCGCCAGGCACACAGCCACCTGAAGGTGTTCGTCATTCGCGACAAGTCCCTGCTGAAGTTCGTCTTTGCTCGCCCGCCCAACGAGATCCAGCACAACATTCGCCCATTCCAGGAGCAGTTGCAGAAGAAGCTGAGGCCACTGGGTCTGGAACTGCATGTCCTCGACACCCAAGTCTTCACGCGTCCCGATATGAGTCTGGACTTCACAGCGACCAGCTCCTGCTTCCAGATGTTCAAAAACGGGGCTGCCCTGTCCCTCAGCGAGATGCAGAAGCTGATGAATTCGCAGCAGCTGCGACAAGAGCTTATCGATATCTACGCCGCCTTCGGGGTCAGTGAAGTGGAGTCGTGCTCGGTGAGAAGGATCCATGCAGCGGCTCTCTTCGCCGGAATGTTAACCTCGGCGGGGGCCTGGCTGGTCTTTTTGGCCGCCCTTATAGGCCTGGCTGCTCTGATTTCCCTGTGCACCGCCTGCTGTCTGAAGAAGAAGTAAGTAATTTATCTTCTCTGGAAGCAGTGATGATGATGCTAATGGTTCAATCTTCCACCCAGATTTAAACGGCACAGCAAGCGGAGTCTGCAAGCGAGTTTGCGTTCGCCCACGGAGCACACACCCACATCATATAGCTACTCGATGCCCGCCGTTCTCTACTCGGAGCCAATCTACGGGCCCTTGTAGCCGCAGCTTATCTTCTGCACGGTCAGATCCAGGTCCCTAGTAAACTAGTGCACAAGACTTAAGCCCCGTTTCGCACCAGCAACATCGCAGATCCAATGGGAAGGGATCTACCTTTGGCAGCTGCGAATCGGGAGTTTTATTGGCAGAGGGAATGCCAAAAAAGTCCATATATAAGCTTAAGCGTACTATGCGCGTGATCTAGTATGTATCGTACATATCGTATATAAACTAAGAGAGGTTAAACTGTATAAAGTCTAGCGATTATCCATCTGAAAATCTTAGCCTAAGTAGAGTCAGTTCTTTGTGTCATTTGCGCGGAAATACGGATTTGGATCGAGGTTGGGTCGATTTTCTGCTCTGATTTGCCCGGACGGATTTCGCTTGCCTCGAATCTGCGGATTTTTTTTTATTTATTTTTTTATTTTGGTAGAAATAGAATGCATTAATGCATTATATAAACCTATTTATCTTATCGTATATTTGCCCATAACATGTCGAACAAGTGCAAAATAAATATCACTCGAAATGCAGACCAATTCCAGTTCCATATTCAAATCCTCGAACTCCACCCATCCCATGATGATGATGGGGCCCTGTCGTCATCAGAGTCGGAGTTAGTCATGTGCGTGCCGGCCGAATTGAACTGAATTTCCCATTTTCAAACAGAATGCATATGTTTCTGCTATTAAGTAAATATATTTATACTCGTACTATATACTCGTACGAAACTAAGTAGTTTGTCGAATGTGAACATGTGTGCAAATAAATTCTGTTAACTACGAAAAATGTGAAAGCTAAACACGAGCATTTAGTTATTTTCCAAAGGCTTCCGCCGCGTTGACGTTGGGTATATTGAGTACTCGTACCTGGGTCTGGGATTTACATACTCGTACGTAGGTGTGAAGTGATATGCAAATGAATTTTTTCCCCACTAAAAGCAATCAGGCTGCTGGCCATACCCTTCAATATGGGAAGTTCAAAAGGTGCAACTTGATGTCTTTTTGAGATAGCATCAAACTTAGTAAAGCATTGAGGACATTGAAAGAGATAAGGTTTAGTTTGATATCATGTTGGTATAAAGATTTGTTTGTATTCTCTCTTCGTATGCACATATGTACATGTATTATTAACCTTTTCTTCTTTCTATTGACGAGAAATTCTAGCCAGCGTGGTGCAGTAATTCTTCTGGGAAGTACTACTGCCTAGGAATGTTTATATTTACTCCCATCTTCCCACTATAATCCATAAATAATCTTCAGCATAGTCCAGCAATTTATCCTGACCAGACGCCAAGGCCTGAGTAATTAAAAACTTCTGAAATGCTCCGTCATTCTTTGGCCTTATCCCAGCTCCCTTTTTTTTAACATTTTCAAGAACCATCAGATCGTTGCTCGAGTTGCTAACGACACGCTCTGTCCAGATTCCAATTAAAGTTGCCCTGCTTATAGTAATTGCAAATTCTCATTTCAAATCCATTCAGGAAGTGCGTCACTATGCAGGCAAGTGTAAATGTAACGTCCAAAGCAAACATTCTAGCCAAAGGGAAGTGAAGGGAAGGCCAGGGAGCCGCAGATGGAGGGAGGACGGACGAGGAAAAACCCATAAATAATATATATTGTTAAAACTAATGTGCGGCGCTCATTAGCCCCTGGCAACGAGAGAGAGCAAACGAACAGGGGATGATGCTGGCCCAGCCCTTGGTTCTAGTTCCTGTTTCTGTTCCTATTCCTGACTAAATCAAAGGGTGCAAGATGAACTGTACTGTTCCGTTGGGCTGGCTCCGGGGGTTGCTGCTGGTAGTTCCTGCCACACATCCATCGAATTATTTTTATAACTTTTTAAAGCGAAACAACATCAACAGCACAAGACAGCGAATCAAGTGTTTTTCGAGTCGGGTCAAACCTTTAGGGGGGTTGCTGTTGCTAGCCCTCACAGCGCAAAGGAGACTGAGTGTAATTCAACGTGTTTCCCGCACAATTCCTTAATTTAAAGCAAAATTTTACAATTAGCATAACCTGCATTGCAGCTCACATTGTTGTTTTTGCCAAATCACCTTCCACTTGAACAGTGATTGATGACGGCGATGGCGATGGCGATGCCATCCTCATAAATCACACTTCAGAGCCGAGTGACAGTGCGAACCCCAGTAAACATTGACAGCGCCAACTCATGAGGCCCCCACATTTCGGTAATCGCCAATTAATTCCATCGGATGGATGGATAGTTACGGCGCCAAAGAGCTTAAGAGTGTGGGAGATCCGCAAGTGTTGGCAGCTTGCGTTCTTTATAGACCCCATATTCCATCTACTACCCAGAGATTCAGATACCTCTATGCCCTGCAGGTGTCCTGTGCTGTGGCACGAGGCACAAATCAACTTTTTACCCCAGATTCAATTCAATTCCCTGACAGTTAGTGTCCGTGTTTGTCGAGCTGTCAGGCAGCTGGCCAGATGTCTAACTGGCTGACTGGCAAACAAAGCGAACAATTAATGACTGAGGCCCCCGGCCATTTCCCTTTCCGTCCGTCCTGTGCCTGGGCGTGCAACAAATAGTCAAAAGACTTGCGTGCATATCAAAAAACTAAAAGTGAAAATGAAAGGAAATCATAACGGTCGCTTGGCGAGGTGCCGGGGCCATAAAAAGGGACTTAGGACTCACCCTGGCAGGGTCTGCGTAATTGCAGTTAACTACTTGTTCGGCTGCCCGTGTATACATATATATTTTTGGGGTAATTTTTTGCAACATTTTTTGTCAGGATTTTTATTAATTTTTTCGCAACTTTTCTTCTTTTTATGTCAGCCCTCACAATGATAGAATTATTGCGGGATTTTCGCGCGAGTTTACGGCCTAAGCCGGAAGTAGAATTATCCAGAAGCGACAGCTTGGTATAATTCGCTGATCAATGGGACTAACCAAAGGATTTACTCCACAGAGCACCATACAGATGTGGCAGCTTAAGATCATACGCCAGCCATGGAGCCAAAGGACTTTATGTGCATAGGTATTATCCGAACCACCTTTCAATTATCCGTAGTCCGTGTCCGTTGTTTATACTCAACAATAACTAGGCATGAAACCGTTGTTGTGTCGACATTTTAGGGCCAACCTTTGGATTCAATTTATTCACGGCAAAGCAGAGAAAAAAACCTTAACAAATATCAACCATAAATTAGAAATGTCAGATTCATTATGCACATGGCGCTGCATAGTAATTAGATAGCTCCGCGCGTCCTTATAGAGTTCTCTCTCTCTCTGTCTCTGCCCAACTATGTAGAAATTTATGACCACTTGATGAACTGCAGCCACTACGGGAACAGTTCAGCCTCTGAGCGCGGTGTTGAGCACTCGCATTTCGTCCTGGTCCTGCTCATTTGCATAACAATCAACTCATCGTTTGTGGTACAGCTACAGCTACCATCTACCAGTTCGGGCTTCCTCTAGTTATCCGTCGGTAAGAGGGAATCCACCCTGCACTGGGGCTGGATAGGACTACCATCCCATGCTAATGCACTTCGTACAACAGCAGCGGGTGTGAAGTTGTAAAGTTTAATGTATTGTTTGTCTAACAGTTTATTCATTTGGAAATGGAATATGTACATATATTTTGTGTTCATTCTGTGACTGGAATAAAAAATGATTCTGCTCTGGGGTTGAAAATAATTCAAACTGATTCAGAAAATCTCTCTAAATCATCATAGATTGCATGGCCATTTCTTTCCCCAATAAACTGAGCTTGGGCTTTGGCGTACAACCTAATATTAATAAACAGAAAAATGCAGCTTAAAAACATTTAACATTCAAGCTCAACATTCGATGAATATTGTTTCCGAAGAAATATACAAATATTAAAAATTTATATAATATTTTACAGTTGATAATTTTCCATCTTCAAGATGATGTGCCTTCCACAACAATTATTGCTACATATCCAAGAATCTATTAAAATTATTTCTATCCCAGCTATTCCTCCTTTCCCGCAACTTAAATCAAATTTGTTGCAATTGTCGAACATGATCTCGATTCGATTTGCTTAATAAAGGAACATGGGCGATATAGTTATCTTGATTCTTGATTTACATGTGTTAGCATTTTCTTGTTTTGTGTGTTCCTTCTCTCGTGTACCACTTTTCGGCTCAACAATGTGACATAAATCTGCTTAAATTTGACTAAAACCGCTCTGATCGGATTAAAATCAGAACTTGCATAACATTTTACAGTTTCAGTTTCCAAGGACCGAGCATCCCATCCCGCTTATCCTCGCCGGGCCAAACATGCACACAAATGTGACAGATTGGCTTCCTTGGGCGGGCTGGTTCTCCGAACTTATTGAGAAATAAATAGGTCCAGTGCAGGGTACGGATATGGGTGTGGGTATGGGCATGGGTACGGGTACGGGTTGCTCAGTGTAACAAAATACTCGAACGGCTGTTTGTTTATCCAATGTTTTTCGGTTAGATGAGCACACAACTCAAAAGCGACAAAGGTAGGGCAGACAGACATCATCGCAGGACCGTGTTTCGGGAACAGTAACGAATACACCCCGAAAGGCGAACGTCACAGATTTCACAGATAAACCAATTCGAGCAGGGCAATGAATGGGTAAAAAGGTCGAGCAACTTGCCGCCAAAAAATGAACGTGTAGCTCTAGCACCAGAGCGAATCTTCCATGCTGATGTTTGATCAGAGCTAAAAAGGGTTACGATATGGAGAGGGTTGTTGGAGGCAGAGTTTTGCACGTGCAAAAGGCAAAGGCGAAGGCAAAGGGGTTATCCAGAATCTGTGTCAACTTCTTGCTAAAAAGGCGTAAAACAATCAATTCGCCAAATAAAATTCGATCTGCGAAATGGGAATAGACAAATTGCAGAAGGTCCTGTCCCGCTCTGCAAAGTCGTGATATATGGTCTGTGCCTATTTCATGCCTGACAAAGCGAGCAGAAAGGTTAAACCTATAAATTCAACCAGATTCTTTTTGTACAGTTGGTGAACCTTTTTCTACATACAGTTTTTTATGCAGAAAGTATATTAAATTTAATTTTCTTTGCGCATCTACTGTGTGAAACTTCTATCATTTTAATGGAGAAACATGATTCAAAAGTATTATAGAACTCAGCACCATTTGGAATTTCTTTTAGATATCTGCAGATCGAGCCCTCGGGTAAATTATCCATCATCTATGTATCTTTTGTGCACTTCCATGGAACCGCACATGAACCGCACCCTGTGGACCAGCACTTGACGCATTCGAAGATTCTATTGTGTTTGCTCCTTTTAGCATGTCCATGGCAATTTGTTTCCATTTTGGTTTGCTTATCGCCTTATGGCCATCGCCAAATTGTTTTTGCAGCTCCGGCAGTGCATTAGCATAGAACAGGGGAAGATGCCGTCATTGATCCGCCGATAGCTATCTAGATATAGCTACCCCGTATCGCTAATGATGCCCGCCCGTACCCAGATGTAGACTCAGCCTCAGTCCCAGCCGCATCCCTTCGGTGACAGTTCTGGAAATTGAATGCAGCTTAGCTGGCTCACCCGCTGCGTATTTGCGCCTTTGTTACGAGCTCTGGCACGGAACAGAAGAACAGAGGAACGGAGCCCATGTCGAGCCATAATAATGATTATTGTAAAGATAAATCCGGACACCTCCAACAAAGCTGCACAAATGACAAACGCCGAGTCCGATCCGGCTTAGTAGTTAAAATAATCACAAGTTTGAGAAACCGAATTCCTCTCCACCATTTCGGAATCTTTGGGATCCTGTTCACCCTTGCCTCGTAACGGAAAATGCCAGTCAGTTCCCGTTCTCCTCTCCTGTATCTCGACTCTTGCCGGTTCATTCAACTAAATAATTTGAGTGGCATTCATGCAGGTCCACTACAGGCTCATGTTTCAGGACTGCCGGTCCTGACTCTACCCCTGCCTATGACTCTGCTGCTGCTGTTACTGCTGCTGCTGTTGGTACATTCGTTTTGTAATTCTGTGGCAGGTGACGGGGCAATCTTCCATTGTTCGACCTCAGTCGAGTTTCTACTTGAACTCACCCCATGTCGAATCGTAAGGGCGCAAAAATGCCCCCTACAATACTCGTAAAAACAAGCTGCAATGCACACACACAGAAAACCATTCATTTTATGTGCACTGCAATATACAATATTTATTTGAATTTAAGTCTTTTGTTTGGAATCTCAAATCCGCACACATACAGAGACTCTCTGCCTCTCCCGTTCTCGGGGTTGTTTGATTTGGCTACTATTTTTGACTTTTCCTGGAGTTCTTAGATCCTGATTGCGATCTGGATTGAAATTTTCTGGTTCGTTTTGATCATCAACTTTATTAGAAAAAAAATAGTAAATAGTTCTTTATGGCTTTACATCGAAATTCAATCTTATCACGATAAATTTGTAGTCCTGACTAGCTCGCTTTCTTTGCATTGCAATAACTGATACAGCATCTGGTGTAATCTAAATAGTCTATCGATTGTACAGTTTCCTGGTGATACCTAATACATGGTAAATTTTTGGTGATTGTGGTGGTACCTTAGATTACGCTTATGTCTACGATGGCAAAGGTACATATTCGTTCTATGGACAACCGACTTGTACTAAATAGTTAATAGGATATGGAATATTTTAAGGAAAGGAATGCTTGTCCTTTGAAGCATTCTTTGCTAAAATATTCCCCTGAGATCTACAACAAAGAAACCAATAAAGATTCGAAGTTTGTAATGAAATGGTTTGTTGAATGAGCTTAACTATGGATAGTGTTTCTTATATGAACATTGATTCTTCTGTTGCGGATCCGCCTCTAAATTACTCTAAATTGAGTGCAAGCATCAGCTAAAGTTGTAGTGGGTCTTGGAAGATTCCAAATCGAATAAAGCCATATCCTTGCATTCAATTTAGTGGTTCACCTATTACAAATATCAACTGATTGTTGGAGCTTCTCGGAAAGTGATACAGGCAAATACTTAGAGGATTCTCGCCAGTAACTTTTTGGCTTTTGTTTACCCAAAGTCAGTCACGAGATCATCTATTGCGTATTTCCATGGATCAGTTTCCTGCAAATCTTCACAATCTTTGTCTCAATCTATCACGCTCTGAACGCTTTTAAACGCAAAATATACCCCCAGGACTGTGCTATACCTGGGGGGCAAATTGCTTATAGCTGTGTGGATATGGATGGAGCTGTGGATGGTGATTGGGCTGCTCCTCTGGGTACTCCTTCCAGGGCGGCGTCTGCGTGTAGAAGCTGCTCTGCTGGTGCATTGCTGGTTCCGTGGCTGAAGACGGCAGATTGGCAGCTGCCTCGAAGCTTCCTCGGAACAGATCATATTTCTCCTGCGAGAACTGGCCAGCGGGTGGCGTCTGCTGCGGGTTCGGCTCCTGCTGTGGATGATGCTGATAATACCGCATGCTGCTGCCGAAGTCGAAGCCAGTTGGATGTTGGGGATGAGGATGAGGAGCTGCTGAAGGGTAATCCATTCCCGGCTGAAAGGGAACCATCTGCGGCTGATGGTGATGAGGATGGGAAAGAGGATCTGAATGTGCTTCAGAATGCTGGGAAAGAGGAGGCTGCTGCGTCTGGCCGTAAGGAAACATCCGACCGCAACCAAACATGGGGAATGGCTGCGGGTTCACGAAGAGGGCGTCGAAAAGCTCCTTCGTAATGCGCTCTCCGCTCAATGTGAAGTTCTGCAGCTTCTCTAGGTCCAGGTTGACGGTGTTCCCGCTCTCCAGCACCTGCTCCAGAGCAAATATGTAGTTGTGGGCGAACCGAAGTATCTCGATCTTCGTGAGCTTTGTCTCCTCGGGCAGCGAGGGCAGCGTCACCCGCAGCTTCTCCAGCGCATCGTTAAGGCTGTGCATCCGGTTGCGCTCCCGGTCGTTGGCCTTCATTCGACGGAACTTCTTGATGCGCACCACCTGTGTGGGGCTGCGCGAACGGGTGACGCGGTTCTTGCCGACGGCATATTTGCGCTTGGGCCGCGGTGCATCCGGATCTTCCGGCGACTTCATTGGTGTGCTGGTCAGTTGCGGCTCGAAGCCTCCGCCAGTGGCACGGCTGTTCAGGTGCTCCACCAGGGTGCGGCCGCTGCGTGTGCTGTGGTTGCTGCTCGTGTCCAGCAGGCCCACAAATCCTGCCGGCGGTGAGTTGATCGGGGCTGTGTCCCAGGTGCCGGCATAGGCCAAAGGCGCCGCCGGCCCGGCCGCTGCACTGTTGTACGTCTCATCGAAATCCAAACGCCTCCGGGAGCTGACCTGGGCCTCCGTCTCGAAGCTCTTTTCGTAGCCGCTGTCGAAAGATGCATCGTCATCGTCCTCGTCGAACTCGAAGGATTGAGAGGGAGCACTGTAGGCATTATAACAAGCAGCCATGATCTGTTTTCGATTTCCGTTCTGTATAAACTATATCCTTGATCTGTATCTGTGTTTATGCTCTATCCAACAGTCGCTACGCGCATTTCACGCCTCCCAATTCCGATTTATGATTTCCGTTTTTCACTTTCAGAGAGGACAGTGTCGCTGGGTGTTTCTCAGTGTCTCGCGTGCCCGCACCAACTAAAAGCTGGCAAGGAGTGCGCACCGGTTTTATGCACCGGGGCCAGCCATTAATGCCCGCGTTGGAAGCGGTAAGCCCGCTGATTTGGGTCTAGGCGGCGGCAACAACCCTCGGCGCATTGTCGTCGGTCGTGGCGGCGCCATGGCACACATAAATCCCAAAAGATATGCGCGCCGTGATTGTCGCCAGGGGGTTGCTTTTGCCCGCTCGCACACATACACTGGCATAGATGTACGATGTACGTGTCCGTATACGGACACACTCTCAGATGAGATTCGTTATAGCTGGTATCGCTGCCAGTTAAAATACGAGCATTTTTTACGCTTTGCTGGCTAGCGCTGCGGTCTAAGCCAATAGGAAGGATGTCAGAGCTGGCGAGGATCAGTGGTGACGCCAACGGCATCATCAAAGTTCAAAGCATTATTTGCTGGTGGCTGCATACTCTCTAGTAAAAGGGGTGTTCTGACTTTCATATCATGGAAAGGAGACTTAAATCAAGCTAAATATTTCGTAAAGAAATAAGTCTTTGAAATTGGTTTTTATTCCGATTTTTCTTACAGAATAACACATTTCTTTAAGATCAAAGACACATTCAAAAAGACACTCACTTTAGCTAATTTTCCCGGATTATTAATAAAGTTATAGTTCCCCATGAACTGTTCAACTTTCATCCGGAATCTGCTGCAGATTTACTCTTCTGATGTCATTTCTTTAACTTTGTAGAGTATATAAATTTCGCATTTAAGAAACAATTGCATTTTATACTATCATAACATTGAACTTGAGTGCGCTTAATGCGATTGCCATTCAAAATGTTTCAATTACCCGCAACTCTTTCGCTTTTGTCGGGTAAACCGCAGTAATCACTTAGGGCTTACGCCTGTCGCTAAACGAATTAGAGCCACGTGGCCAGGACAACTCCGACACTTCCGAAAACGCAACATGTGAACTCCCACTCTCACTCCTACTCTTACCTCGGCCGAAGCAAAAGCCTGGCCACGTGCCGTGGTCTTACCGGCTGCTCAAGTGGCAGAGTGTGCCATAGATATCTATGTGGTAAAAGACATCTAAGTGGAGGCGTCTGCGGGCCGCGATTTCAGAGATTCCAAGTGGCCGACGGGGACGGGTGCCACGTGCGGATCTGTTATGATATGCGCAAATTATCGCAAATTGCTGGCATAAGTGAGGAAGACTCTAGAGTGTCAAGGGTGCTAATTGAGCTACATATATGCCTCCACGGCTTCTGTCCTGATTTGTATCAAAAGTTTGGTTGGATGGCTAATACTTAAGTTGACTAAAATTTCGAGTCCATTTGGTGTTAAGATCAAGAATACTCTTTAATAACCTAGATGCAATTTAATCATTTTTATACCTCAAACCTATTTAGAGTATAATGTTTAGTATCAGCCACAAGGAAATAAATATCTCAGTCATTCGAAACATTTTGTCGAGAATAAATCTAATAAAACTGTTCATTCATTGGAAATAGTTCGTCGAAAATATATCTTAATCCCTAAAATTAATAAATGAAAATGGATAAAGAAAATAATGAGTGAAATATAGTGAAAAATAAATTGTTAGCACAAATAGGAATAATGAAATAAAATAAATTTATTCCGATCAGCACTTAAGCCGAAAACCAATAGCCGGGAAGTAAGAAGTCGGGAAGCCACAGCCCGTTAAGCCCCCACAATATCATCAACCAAAAGTTAAGTTAAAGATACATAGTTCCGTACCTTGCTGTACGTTGTTTCACTTTGCGATGTACCTATTGATACTTGATTGTTTCCATTTGATATGGTTTAAAATGAAACTTTAAAATTCAATTACAAAATAACCCTGCCCGACCGTGTAATAGTTTATAAATGTACTTTCTTGATGAATCGGGATATATTGAGGGTATTTATTTTTCTAGATTTTTCTTGCACAGGTCCTTGTATTGAACATTTACCCTAAACTCTCCCACTCATGAATCTATAGCTTCTGGGTCTTTTCTGCGGAGGGGGACACGTTCCTCAAAAAAATACAACACAAGTCACTGGGGCCCATACGCAATGCCGTCCATATGGAGGTCCCACCGCCTCGGGCTGTCAGAAGCAGGATCAGGAGCAGGGAGAATGGCGGACACAGTCCAGAACAAGCGATATCAGGCCGGGGAAGGCTGGGGCGTACAGAAGCAGAAACTTCCACAGAAGTTCTACGTCATGCGATTGAGCTGTACAGAGTTAAACATTTGGGCGGTACATTTGCAGCCTGCGATAGTTGTCCCTCCTACTACACGGTGGAGAAGCTAATTTGCAAGTTCCAAGTTGCGAAAGTGATGGTAAGTTATATTTTACCAAACAATATTTCACCAAAAATTCAACATTTTTTCGTTCGAAGACAAAGCTGATATCCAAGTGACTTATCCCCACGGTCGTACCCTGACTTACACTTACACTCTTACACAACTAAAGAAGAAAATTAACAAGACGACCTTCAAAAAGTTATAAATATCTCGGGATCATAATTTACGGTTTCCAAACCTACTCTGCTTGCATGTTGGGTCGTAGGTGAATGACTTTTAATTGCCGCTAGAACTGTGTTGCTTCGTGGATGGCCAGTTACTGAATGTGAGTTCGACAGCTTCCAGTTTTTCTTCACTCCTCAGGATTGCTGGTTTCTATTTTATACCCGATACTCAAAATTAGTATAGGGGTATATTAGATTTTTGGTGAAAATGGATGTGTGCAACGCCCAGAAGGAAGCGTTTCCAACCCAATAAATAACACCCCATATATATTCTTGATCAGCATCAATAGCCGAGTCGATTGAGCCATGTCTGTCTGTCCGGCTGTCCGTCCCTATGAGCGCCTAGTGCTCAAAGACTATAAAAGCTAGAGCAACGACATTTTGTATTCAGACTTTTGTAATATGTCACTATTCCAAATGTTTTGTGGCATCCACAATATCAAAGATACGAGAAATTCTTTAAGAAAGTACTTTTCAAAACGATTTGGCATTCGGTCACGGTTTTTTTGTAATTGAATTTCAAAGTTTACCCACATAAATTGGATACAATCAAGTATGCCCTTAAATAAAATGACAAAATATTCCAGCTAAAACAATAAAAATATCATTTATACTACCAAATAGATTGTAATTATTTGTAAGTCGCTGTATTTTACATGAATCGATAATCTCAATCCTAACTATTTATATTTCTTTAAACCTAATAATGCTTTTTCGCTCCACTAGTTAATAGCTACTTTCAATAGGTTTACACTCTTTACCAGGCTCATTTGACAAAGTAAACGGTCCGAGCTGCATGTAGTTCCAGAAAACATCCCTAACTGAGAATGTATTGCCACCCAATTTAACACAAGCCGCCACGTGTCCCAGACTCCTTTTCCCCTAGTGTTGTTGATATGCCTGACCAGCTCAAGTGCTCCTCCGACGCGTGTGGCTAATTCGCTTTTTTCGAAAACCACAATGCATATCAATTACTCTATTAATTGAGAGGACGGCGCATGTTGCTGTTCCGGCTGCTGAGCGTGGGTCGAAAAGGAGAGGCGAAAACACATTTGGCCAATAGGAAGAATTTCAGCTTGCTCACACCCAAATGAGCTGAAACTCTAAGAGAAAATGACAGACAACGCAAACAAAAATATCGAGCATTTACATCCGCTTCGTTTCTTCGTCTCGCATTCGATTACGAGCCAAATATTGAATATTCCCCTCATCCGAAAATGCTGATTGGTGCTATGTCTATATTGGCAAGCGCCTAAATTTAAACATGAGTCAGATGGTATGTTGCGCTTCAGGAAAAGTGGAACTACCTGAAATTAAGGCACTGCCAGAACCATTGAAGAGCTCGCTCATCGGCATGAATCCAGTTTCAACGCTGTTCCTGCAGTCCATCGTACATTCAATTCATGCTTCCAAAAGTACTCATTCGGAGCACCAGAAATAGTTCCCAATACGGCAAAAGGTCAACAATTCTATTCAACATTTCAAATCAAAGAACAAGTGTACCACAGTGTACTTTATGGGCGGTGAGGGCATCAATCGTGTAGACCACGAACGCGGCCTCGCTAATCACGCTACAATAACCTGAAATCGCCAAAAACCAGGCGCATACTCGGCGAGCTGGATGACCCGACCTATTGAATGATCACAATGAATCATTGAAATTCATAAAATCACACATGCCTTTTCCATCCGAAATTAAGCATAGCGAAAACGTTACAACTGGCGACAGAAGTGGGATTGAACAATGGTTAAATTCAGTCTTACAACTCGAACAATTAACGCAGGAATTGGCAGAGCGGGAGTTACCAACAAGCGGCTTGAAAGCCGAAGGAAAACCGGTTTCAAACTAGAGGAATCACGAGTACCTGGATAAGTTTTCGTTTGGAACTAATTGACTAATTACGCATACTCAATTGCATTAATATAGACAATTTGAATGGCAGAACAAAGTTTGCCGTATATGAGAATAATGCCCAATGAGAATAAATATAGACAGAAAGACATGGCTCAATCGACTCGGCTATTGATGCTGATGAAGAATATATATACTTTATGGGGTCGAAAACGCTTCCTTCTACACCCACTTTGAGTAAATGGATAATGAAAATAGTGAGTGAATCGGCGATATATTTTTTTCTTTTAATTAATTTAGGTAAAAATGAAGCTTTGAAATGCAATTACGAAATTACAGTGTCTGTCCGCCAAATAGTTTCTATTAGTACTTTCTGGAGAAAAAGCGATCCATTGAGTATATTTTTTTTTTTAGATTTTTGGAGCGCATGTCCTTGTATCGACCATTTACCTT